TTCAGCTATATAGTAAGTTCAGGGTTAGCCCTGGGGTACATGCAGTCTTGTCACAAACAAACAAAATGAACAAATGATAGCAAAAAGTTTCTGTTGCCAGGTGTAATGATGTGTGCCTGCAGTCGTAGCTGTTTAGAGGCTGAGGAGCTCAGGGCCAACTAAGGGAGACAGGTCTCTTCAAACAAAGGAAAAGCATCCTTAAAGAGATGAAAAGTAACGCACAGGCCAAGAGGAAATACTTGTAAAAAATGCATAATTAAGGATCGAATCCAAAATAAGGAAAGGAATCTTAAAACTCAGTAATAACAACAACAACAACAAAAATATTTAAGCAGATAATTCTCCCCAAAGTTGTTAGAATGGCAAATGAGCATGGAAAGAGATGTTTAAACCCACCAGACATTAGGAAAATGACAGCTCTGTGCTGAGATACCAGTATACACATCAGAACAGCCAAAACTGGGGAACATAGCTGATCACAATGAGGGCTGCGGGTGTCAAGCTCCAGCTGCCCTAGACAGTGCCACAGACACCCACTTAAAGTGGAGCACGGGGAACCAAGGCTCTCCTGCAAGTGCTCAGGATGTGACGACACTGGACCCCAGCTGGAAGGAGCCCATGCCACCAGCTGATGTGACCAGATAAGCTTCTGTTATCCACCCACGCAGGATCTTACTCAACAGTAACATGTGACCTGTGACTCACACAGCATGAGAGCCTCTCGTTATGCTGAGTGAAAGAAGTCAGACATGAAAGTCCACAAGTATTGGTTCATTCAGGTGGAGTTCTAGAAAAGGTGAGACTATGGTGACAGCATTATGCTTTGTTCTGTTTTTCGTTTTTTTGTTTTGTTGTGTTTTATTTTTAAAGAAACAAATTTGGGCTAGCAAGATGACTCAGCAGGTTGCCATAGAGCCTGGTAACTCCAAGTTCAGTCCCCATGACCCACATTGTAGAACGAGAGACCAACTCCCAAAAGTTGTCCTCCAACCTCCACACATGCCCAGGCACATGTGTGTGTACACACACACACACACACAAACACACACACCCCAAATAAATAAATGTAATAAAAGACAAATGGGCTTGGTGTGTGACTGTAGCAAAGTACGTTCCTGAGACCCTGGGTTCAGTGTTCAGAACCAGGACAAGAAAAGGCAAAGGTAAAGCAAAGCAGCTGTGTCTGCCTGTTGTATTATACTTCAGGACATAGAGCTGTCTTACTGTTTATAAACATGAACAGCTGAACATCTGCTTGTAGAGAGCTGGGTATATTGGTGCACATCTGTAATCCCAGTACTCGGGAGGAGGAGAGGAGACCACCAGGAGTTCAAGGTCAACTTTGGCTACATAGCAAGTTCAAGGACAGCCTGGCCTACCCATAACCACGGCTGTCTCACAACACAGCAAAATAAAACAAATTTGCTTATGATCATCCACTGGAAGAAGAGAATGACTGAGCCGATGTTTTTATTTGGAACCAATAGACTATTGTTTGAGCCAGGAGTTCAGGGCCAACCTGGGCAACCGAGGGAACATGAGTCTCTTAAAACAAAACACCCTCAACGGAAAAAAAGTAAGGCACTGACTAGAAGAAAAGATTTGTAAAATATATAAATGATGAAAGATCGAATCAAAAATAGAAATGGATCTTACAACTCAATAATAAATGGACAAAAGAGACTTTTATGCTGATGGCCCCAAAAGGGCTTCTGAAAGTCCTGAAAATGCAGTCCTTCAAAGTTGCATTGTTGGAGATAAGTTATGACCTTGTGGAGTTCGGTACATGGAAAGATACAAGTGTTATGCAAATCCACTTTTTTAAAAAACATAACTTCATTTTAATTTTCCCTTTAAATCGCTTGCTTTTTTCCCAAACAACACTTTGACCATTCACTGGTAATGACTGGTAATGTAGGACAAGAAGGCAAGGGACCAGCTCAGTGGCTGCAGAGCCTTCTGGAACAAAGCCAGCAGCCCAGCAGCTGCACAAGCAGGACTCTTAACAAAGAAAGCTGTCTGCTGTTGACATAAACTGTCTTGGGGGAGAGGTGGATTCCCCCCAAGAGGTGACTGCAGGTGTGCTGGCAAGAGCGCAGGAGAGAAGGTTCAGGCTGCAGATGGGGTGGCTTTGGCCTGTGGCCAGCGCCAGTCTCCCCAGATGAGCTCTGGCTGGAGGTGTCTTCCACCTCCCATGGGAGTCCTCGTGCAGCTTTGGACCCTGTGGGGGTTAGACGGCAGTCTCTGTGTCCTCCATGTGAATTTAAATTTCCAGATGGCAATCTTCAGTCCTGTTAGTAAAGATGTAGGGTGCCTCCATGTGGTTTTAAAAGATGCCACTGTGCATTGGGCTGGGTGCTACCAAAAGCCATTTGCAGTCAAAAGTCAACATCCCTCAAGAGGAATAAGAGATATTTTATTCTTGAGCCAAATATAAAAATGACCACAGTATAGGAACCTATATAGATTCAGGGAACCCAGGATAACATGTTCCATTAGGGAAGCAGTCACATAGGCTTTTACTAGTCACAGAATAAAGAAGTAACAATTGCATCTACTATTTGCATTTGTGGGGGATCACAGGGAAATGGGTTACAACAAAGTGATTAAAACAACGACAATTTTTTTACAGGTTTCAGATGCTCTCTGGTGACATTCTTGTCTATGGAGTTGGTAGAAGACATTGGTCCACTAGAATACATTTCAAAGACTTTTCTTTATAGTCCAGAGATATAAGAATCAAACATAGGGGTGGGGAATGAGTGACTGGTAAGGGCACTAAAGAAAGATTGGACTGTGCATCTGTACCGTTCTAACTCTGCATAATTACAAAGTTCTAACCTGTTGTTCACAACCTGTAGAGGCTTCAGCACGGGCATCTTGCTTGTTTGTTTTCTGGGAACTTCAGTTTACACAAACAATTACACATTTTTGTTTTAATCAGTGCTACTCGGTACCTTTTCCTGACTCAGTTTTCTAGAAAATAGTGATGAGGCTCATGTGTCCTCATTATTGGTTTAAATGGAGAAATGACTAATCTCACTAAATTGTTACCAGAAGTGAGATCTAGTGATCTCAGAATCCTAGAAACATACATACCTTGGAGCAAATGCTGGGAGGCATGGCTTGTCTTCTAGAAAGACCTTGTAGCTTCAGTGTGGACTGCTTACCCTAGCAAAGATCATTCCCAACTGCCTCGGCAGCATTGAATGCAGCCCACGTGGTTTTAAGATGGTGTGGCCTGATGACACCATGTTAGGGTAGATGGAGCTCGGTCCCACAGTTAAGCAAGAGGGGATCAAGGTTTTAGATGTGTGATATGCCCTCCTCGCTGGCGGCTGAGGCAGCATGAACACAGATTCTTCCCACCACGTTCGTGCAAGTTGGAGTCCCAATGCCTTTTAGCTCAACAGACACTTGGTAATCAACCATGTCCCCTAGCCTACAAGGAACCCTGGGAGTCAGACGGTGTACATAAGACGCCAAGCTTGGCATGAAATACTAAGGTGAAATATGTTTTTGGTGAACAGTAGGAAAGTGAGTAAGGACAAGAGAGTGCCTGAGGCATGCGATCCATGGACTGGAAAGTAGAGGCAGTGGCAGGCCCAGGAGGAGTGGCCATCTCAGTGAGACGTGAAGGGAAGAGGGGCTCACGTCAACCACATAGTCCCAAGGAAGGGAGAGGTCTTCTGTTTGTCAGAAATGTCAAGCGAGAAGAGAGAGGCGATGACATTGGTGATTAGGACAGTGCTGCTGGTCTTCACGCGTGTGACGTGTGACGGTGAGGAGAGAGGAAGGCAGCTGGCTGGGCCGGAGTGCTGGGAGTCAGGGGAAGTGCAGTGCGGATTCGACAGCGACAGGAGGGGACACAGAGAGCGTGAGAATTGCCGCCTGCTCACAAGGAGAAAATTGCTGTTTTTAAGGCAGAGGTGTGTGGGTTTTTGAAGGGGAGACATTCAGTATATTTGACAGGCAACAACCATAGAATCCCAGTTAATAAAGGAAAGAATTAGGATAATCGATAATATTTTAGTAAGGAAGCAAAACTGGAATATTTTTGCATTTTATATAAATAGAGTAAGAAATTCAAATCTAATTACCGATTAATAACCCAAACAAGAAATCGAGGAGAAGAAAGATTAGACGTTTTTCCAAATTTCTTTCATCTTTTGTTCTCTACAGAGCACTGTCATTTTTTCTCTCAAAAATTTAATGAGGTTATTCCTGAACTCAGTGGAATACTTCTGTGGTTTAGATTTTGAATATCCCACCAAAACCCATATGCTCACAATTTGGGCTCCAAGTATAGGTACTGTTAAGGATGTGAGGACTGATGGGAGGAAGTGAGGTCAGTGAGAAACATACCCTGGAAGGGAACATTAAGACCCTGGCCTCCTTGTCCTCCCTTGCTTCCTGGCCACCATGAGGTGAACAGGTTGGCCCATCACACACTTTGACCTCCCTTCAGGGTTAAAGCACAAGGCTAACTAGCCATGGAGAAACCCACAAGGCTAACCAGCCATGGAGAAACCTCTAGAATCCTGAACCCAAGTAAACCTTCTCTCTTAAGCTGATTGCCCCAGCCATTTATTGCAGTGAAGGAAAGCTAGCAAACGCAAATACCAGGTATGAGAACTACGGATAAAGAGGTCAGGGGGATAGAGAGACCTGTGGCAAGCATGCTTACTGCCTGTCAGCACAGAAGTAAGTATTCAGGGCCTCTTGTGAACGAGTGAGGGTCCCATGCTCCTGAATGACAGTCAGTGTGTCAAACCACAGGGATAGCCAAGACATTGAGAAAGCAGTGTGTGTGTGTGTGTGTGTGTGTGTGTGTGTGTGTGTGTGTGTGTGTGTGTGTGTGTGTGTGTGTTGGGCAGAACCTGAGGGTGGTGTGTTTGTGGAGATGAAGATGAGAGCTTCTTGCTCCTTGGCAGTGAAATGTGTCATCTGAAGGACCTGTTCCTACTGTCGTCTTCACCAGTGTTGTCTGTCCTCCTCAGACACAGGTGTGTTTGCGGTGGTCAACAGCCGCTCCTTGTCCCTGCTGGGGAAGCTGACGATCAGTGCAGCCTTCAACATTGTTTACATCTACACCTCTGAGCTGTACCCCACTGTCATCAGGTATGGGGCTTTGTTGACTGTGCTCCTGTGGGCAGAGATGGCCTTCCCTACTTTGCATGGGCATGTGTCAGTCACGAGAGCGTTTAGTCACCTTTTAATTTAGTCACTGTTCTATCACTGTGAAGAGACACTGTGATGAAGGCAATAAAAACAAATATTAATCTTTAAAAAATAAATCTGTTTCTGCTGGGTATGGTGGCTCATATCTTGAATTCCAGGAGTTGGGGGCAGAGACAAGAGGATTGCCACAGTTCAAGACCAGCCAGGGTCACCCCAACAAGACTTGTTTTTTAAATAAAAGTCCATTTTCTTATCCTCATGAGTCACATTTCAAGGACTGAGAAGCCTCATGTGTCCAGTGACTTCGTATATGGTGGCAATCCAGAACTCTTTGGTCTCACAGAAAGGTCTAGTAGGCAACACTGTACCTTCTACTTAGGAATTATTTACCATTTTGAGCTTATTGTATTCTTGCAACCCAGAATATTTAAACTGTCCCCCTGAAACTTAAAGCTTTGTATTTAATTAGTTAATTTGTTTTTTCTCATGCCTTCCAGGAACGTTGGCCTTGGAGCGTGTTCCATGTTCTCCCGAGTGGGCGGGATCCTTGCCCCCTTCATACCCTCACTGGTTGGTTTGTACCTCCTGGTTCTGTTCTTCCTGCTTCTCTGCTTTGGAACTCATGTGTGCTTTTGTGTAGAAAGAGGTAATGAACAGGTTCAACCAAGATCAGCTGCACAAACGTGAATCCTGCGCCTTTTCGATGAGGAGCCCAGTGTTCTGTCAGGTGGATGGACTGGGCATTTTCCCCTGGCGGGTCTGGCTTTTTGTTCATCTGGACTCTATAGGGTCTGATGATCCCAGCAGGCCCTGTCCACAGACATTCCGAAGTCAGTTAATTAGTTTTTATGGTCTTGTATGGCGTGCTGGTTCTATCCTAGCCCTTTGCATATGTTGCTGCATGTAACCGTCACAGCAGCTGCAAGAGGGAGGCATTGCCATCAGCTCCACAGTGCTTTAGAAGCAGGTTGTATATGTGCTCACCACTGCAGAGAAAACTGGAGAAGCACACCTAGCAGCATGCATGCCTCTGTCTTCTTTGGCATTTTGGGATCAGGAGAAACAAGTGACCATTTTCAAATCCTTGCAGCCTTAAATGCTCAAGCTCTGTGAAAGCCCTGGGCCCATGCAGCTCTCTTCTTGATTTCGCTAGGTAGAGGACAGACATGAGCCGTGGAGCTGGGAAGGGTCCTCCAGATAACCCAAGCCCTTCTTGTGAAGCCTGATGAGCTATTAGAGAACCCAGCTTTTGTGATAAAGGCTGTTTCTAAAATAGCAACCAGCCTTATCCCTGGGACAATAAATGTCTCAACTGATAGACAGTCATGAGATCAATCACGAGACCTTGAGCTGTCTCAGAAAGGAGTCAGACATGTGGTAACCAAGAGCACTACAGCTGCATCATGCTTTTCTGGCTTCTGAGGGTCAGAATGTCCCTTTGTTGTTGAGAGTCCTTGGGGCTGCAGATGAGGTTTTCCTGCTACGTCAATAACTAAGGGTCCAGGGCACGTCCCCATTTACACTAACAAAGAGTCCGAATCCTAAAACGTTTATGAAAGAGACTGGAGAAATGGTTCGGTGGTTTAGAGCGTGCCTGCTGTTGTCGAGAACCCTGGCTTGATCCCTGCACCCATGTCAGGCAGCTCCCAACCTAGAACATCCGGGGATCCGACACTGCCGTGGGCACCAGGACATCCGTACACATACCCTCATATGCACAATTAAAAATCCCAAAATATTTTTAAAACATTATGTCACAATATGTTATTATATAGTAAAATAGCGTTAAGATATTACTTATACTGTGGTTTTGACACCACCTCTGAGGGCTTTTCTAGAAGATCTTGAGAAGAAATAACCTAAAAGGTAGAGCCAACCCATTGTGGCTGGGAGCCTGTGCATTGCAAGAAAACATTGACTTACTGTGAGAATACCTTTGGAATCTCTGAAGCAATTGCTGGTAGCACCATATTCCACTCAAATAGTTTAAAACTCTGGGTCATACGACTTTTTATTTCAGTTTCTACTCCTTTAATCTTAGGCCTGTCAGTAGTAATGTTATGATACATTTGACAGCTTTCAAGTTTATCAGCAAATAGTCCAGAGTCTCCCTCCTTGAAGAGAACATGGAGCTCACCACAGCAGACTTCTCCTTCGAGCGGAAGCTGCACTCCAGAGTTCCTGTGAACTCTGCCTGTGTAGGCCTCCCAAGCTCACAGATGGCCATGACTGTGCCTTGCCTGAGATGGTTGGTCCAAGACATTTAGTCCATATTCTCATGCAACCCTCAACTCACTTGGATCCATCTCTGCACGTATGAGGAAACATTCTATGACTTCCCGGGATAACTGTCTTAGAACCATGGTGTGTGGTGTAGTCTAGTGGGAAGGTGCTGAGTAGACGATTAAAAAAAAAGCAGTTCTTGGTCACAGGACTGCTGATATCACCTGCCAAGGAACTGATAGGTTTGTTTGTTTTCATCCACTCCCTGTACCCACAGAAGGACCTGCAGTGGTCCCTGCCCTTCATCGTGTTTGGAACCACCGGCCTGACCTCAGGCATCCTGAGCCTGCTATTGCCAGAGACTCTGAACAGCCCCTTGCTGGAGACATTTTCTGACCTTCAGATGTACTCGTACAGGAGGTTAGGGGAGGAAGCCTTGTCTCTACAGACTTTGGATCCTCCACAGGTATAGAGACACTTGTAATCATCTGGGTCTTCCACTTGAGCAAAGAGAGTTTTTGAAAACAAAACAGAACATAAAGTTCAGACTGAAAATAGAATGGAAAACAAAGATGAATTGAACAGCAGATGATTTATAGCAAAATAGAGCTGGTAATGGACTCATTAGCTTTCTGAGAACACTCTATGGACAGTTCCTTAGGAAAGCAGATGTCATGAAGATACATTTGTTGGGGCTGGGGTATAGTTCAGTTGGCAGAGTTTTGTGTTAAATTCATGAGGTGCTCTGAGATCTGATCCCCAGAACCACCTAAAACTGGGAGTGCTGGTACACCCCTGTAAACCCAGCATTTGGGAGGTAGAGGCAGCTACATAGCAAATTGGAGGGTAGCTTGATCTATGTGAGACCCTTTCTCAAAACAACAACAAAATTGTCATGTGAGTATCTGGGTGGTAATTCTCATTTAGGCCTGTCATGACATCCTTTTACTGCCTCGACAAGATCTCCTTTGCCATTTCAGCCCCTGGACAAGGCCAGCACCTTGGGGAGCGAGAGTGAGGAGGAGGAGTTCTATGATGCAGATGAGGAGACACAGATGATCAAGTGAAGAGCCCACATTCCTCCCAGAAGCAAAGCATCCTCATCATGTGTGCCTTGGGTTCAGCTTAACCGCCAGTGATATCCTCCACCCACTGACATTTCCAGACTCAGGATGAGGTTGGAGGAGATTCCTAAAGGGAGAACCTTGGCACATTGAGAGAGTCATTGCTAATTTGTCCAGAATTGGGGCTGAGCTCAGCACCATGCCTCTGACCACACAGCTCAGGTCCACCATCCAGATGGCTGATTTGTGTGTCTCATGCTGCTTCCTTTCTGTGGGACCCAAGAGCAGGTGTGTGAAACCACTCACAGTTTACTAGGATTAGCCAGAGCTTCCCCCAAGATTTCACCTTCTTAGTCCACTTGACATCTGTCCCTGTCACTTGCTGCTCCCCATCAGGAATCTTCTGGTACAAGGTGATGTGTTCAGAGCCCCCAGCTGGCGAAATGAGTCTTCAGCTGGTTCCCACCCATTGATTGACAGCACAGCTTGGGCCTTTAGTCTGCGACCGTTCACTAGGAGAAGCCAGAGTCAACAGGGCAGTTTGCGGCGTCAGAGGACTGGCTGTGGCTTGGTAGCTCCCTTGACACTTGGGTTGTGCAATGTTTCCAGTTAAACACTTGGGAGATTTTTCTCTGTGAGATTCTAGCGTCAGCAATAACTTCAAAATCATGCACAGTCACTAATGAAACTCTCCAAGTTGGGGGAAGTCAACAAGGGATGTGCTGGCACTTTTTAAATGGGACTTAAATTCAGAGTGACGATTTTCTCTCACAGTGTTTGCGGTCTTCAGTGTGCAGTGAGGGATTTGGACGGCACAGCAGGGCTTGAACCCTGCCCTACAGGAGCCATTACTTGTTTACTCAAATGGCATGATGATTTTTAAAGAAAATGTTGAGTTTTCATTAAGTGCTTCCATTGCTTTCCAAATAAATCAAAATCATACTTCATATCTGTTTCTCACAAAACATGAACACTTTCAAAGAGGCATACAAGCCAAGAGTCCATGTGTGGGCGATTGATCACTTTCCCAGTCAGGGAAATTGCTGTGTGTTTAGAATGTCTGTTTATGCTTACTTGGAAACAGAAAGCACACAAATATGAAGGAAAGGTACACTGTGGATGCTTCTGGAAATCATGAGTTGCATCCTGTTGCCTTCTCCATGTTGTCTTGGCTTACACTGACATTATACCCACCTGTTCCTTTGTTAAAACACTGTTTTCCTTGATGCCCTTGATGATGGGGGAGCTATTTCTACCACTGGAGAGAACATTGGCTATGATACAGTGAAAACCTTATAGGTGGTAATGTGTCTAGCTCTCAGGAAGGTTATGGAACTCCCTGCAGCATCATATCCTCAAATCTCAGCACAGTGTGCCCCACACCCCCAAACTGTGGAGTCCTGCTTCTGTCTTCTCTGGGAAATGGAGGTCAGCTCTCCTTAGAGGAAGAGAAGGGCTTCCAGAAACCCTTGGTTCTTGTCAAATAAAGTGTTTAAAATAAAGCAGTAAATTAATATATATGTAATTTTGACTGGTTTGTTCTCTCTTTATAAGAATACTCTAACCCATTATAGAAAATTTGGTATTAGAAGGTAGAAAATATACCCATCATCCAGCCCCCAGAGAAAGCAGTGCCGAGCCTTTGTTTCCCATGTAGACTTTCCTGCTCTCTGTTGCCCCTGAGGTTCCCGCTGCTTCCGGCTAAGTGAGTGAAGGCTCTGTAATTCTGGCTTCGTGTTTGTTTTAGAGGTAGAAGGAGAGACCCCAGCTTGAATTACATGTTGTGTAATAAGGCTGGGTTGGCTGTCGGCTGCTCTTGTTAGATATATATTTTTTCTTCTCCCTGGGTAGTCCTCTAGCATAGTTTAATAATTATTTCCACTGCCTTTTTAAAGATGGATTTTATTCCCTATGATAGCTGTTAATAAATATTGATAGTACAGAATGTGCACATGTATATATGTGCATTGATTAAATTACTGGAAATCTTACTTGGTAGGTGACATATTTTGTTTGTATAGATAGTCCATTAAAAGCATCTTTAAAATAACAGTAAGGATATATGAAAAAGTCATAAGGAATCATACTATTAACTATCTACCTAAAAATACCTATAATACATGTAAGTCAGTGTATAAATATACACAAATAGTTTAAATAAAACTTCCCATCTGAGCTGACAACCAAGAATCATAGACTGTGTAACAAAAAGCCTAACACAGTCTGAGTTGGTCAGGGTTGTCCATGAGACTCCCAAAACAGCATAGGCTGTTGCCTTCGTTTTCCCCGCCCCGCCCCAGAAGTGGAAGGTAAGTCCCTGTTGCTGAAGACATCATGCACTTTGGGTGCAGGGTCCTGTATATTTGTGTGTGTGTGTGTGTGTGTGTGTGTGTGTGTGTGTGTGTGTATGTGTGTGTGTGTGATGTGTGTGTTACACATATGTAACAATAAAAAGATACCATGAATTTAGGCGAACAAAACAAATGAAGTAAGGTTTTTCCCTCAAAAGTGACAAGAAAAATGTAGGACAAGTGGGAAAACTCAGGTTTCGGGCCCACAGGTCTCATGGCCTGTGCGGTTCTCACACTGCGGTTTCCTTCTGCATTTAAACCACAGCTCGGGATGCACCAGAGCACGGCTGCTCTGAAGCAAGGGCAGTATTCTTCACTTCTCAACATGAACACGTTAACAAAGTACAAGAATAGTTTCTGGATCCCTGCTGAAGTGACTCCGGCCTGAACAGGCACTGTCATGCTGTAACCAAGGAAGGAACTTTGGGTTTATGATTTATGTTCTTAGCACACACGTGTTAGACTGGCATTGAAATCCCACTTTCAGTAGGACTTTTTCATCCAGATGTTTTATCACTGCTCCTTAAGCTGCAAAGATAACAAAGACGAGAGGATTTCCTGTTTTCTCTATTTTTTTAAATAACTATTTCTTCATTGATTGGGAGCATCTCATCATTCATCCCAATTCCACTCATTTCCCAGACCACCCATATCTACCCTTCAACCTTACAGCATCCCCCCCAAAAAAAAAGAAAATTTAAAAAATCAAAACAAAACAGCAACAACAACAAAAACCCTCTTCGCTCCTCTGTCTTTTCCACTTCTCCAACACTCCTTCATTCACCTTAGTGACATTGGGAGCCGCAGAGTGTCACACAGTATATATACCCTTTTGTCAAATCAGCTTTACAAATGTTCATTGCAATGAGTCGTTGGTCTGGTTCAAGGCCTCTAGCTTCTGGTACACCATCATCACTGGATCCTCACTGAAACTCCTCTCAGATATCCTGTGGCCATCCCGAGTCATGGAGATCCTGCTGGTATCGGTTCACAGGAGCAGTCCCTTCATGGGCTCCAGCAGGTCATAGATGGAGTAGATGTTGGTGAGTGCCAGCACAAGGCCCTGGATGTAGGCCTGTGTGGTAGTTGAGTGGGTCAGACCAGACCACTGGGCTCCCACCCTTAGGCGAGGAGCAGAGCCAGCTCTCCCATGCCTGTATCATCAGGGCCAGTTTTTCCATGCCTGTGGTAAGGGTTGGGACTATGCTCAGGACATTGGGGCCATCTTTCCCATGGGTGTCCAGGCCAACTTTCTTGCTGCAGTGTCCAGTGCAGGCTAGGGCCAGCAAAGGGTGGGCCAGCTCACCATGGCCCTCAGATTTCATCACATGATTTCTATGGCCCCCTGTGGTAACATGGGTCACAGACATCAACACAGACCCCAGCTGCAGCAGGACCATGGACCCAGGCATGGCCCTTGGCAGCAGCTTGAGCCCAGACATCACTATGGACCCTGTGGCAGCTCAGGTCACCCAGCTCACTATGGCCCCAGCAGAAGCATGGCTCTCAGACACCAACATGGTCTCAGGTGACTGTCCAAACCCCAGGCATCTGCTCAGCCCTCACTAGTACCAGGAGCCATGGCCATCAACTCAGACCCTGGTTGCTGTAGGATGATGGACTCAGAGATAGCCCTAGGCTGCAGCTCAGGCCTGGACATCACCATGGCCCCGGGTGGCATCACAGGCTACCCAGATCAATGTGGCCTCAGCAGCAGCAGCATGACCCTCCAACACCAACATGGTCTCAGATGGCTAACCAGACCCCAGACATCCACGTGGCCCTCGGTGGCAACAGGAGCCATGGCCATCAACTCAGACCCTGGCTGCTGTAGGGTTGCAGGAAGGGAAGTATTAGTGCCTGCCTCTTGTGAATTGATTAAAGGATGACAGAATATAGGCCTTTTGTTCATACAGAGTGCATTAGGAATGCAGTAGCAACTTCGACAAACACAGAACCTACTAGAAATCACAAGTAATGTATGAGATGGATTGTAAGAAACAAATTAGGGGCTTAAAAGAGAAGCCCAGGAGAACAGTGTTAGAGAATGTGAAGATGATGTGTTGTGGGAAATCTGTGGTGTAGTAAGTATGTCAGAGGAGAAAGACTTGTGAGCACTACTGTGGGTACAGCATTCAATATTCACTCCAAGTTAAAGCTATCAACAGACTAAGAATACAGGAAGCACTAGCAAGATGGCTCAGCCTGAACCTCAGTCCGGTGCCTGGGACCCAGCTAAAGGAAGCGGAGAACTGATTCGTGCAGACTGTCTTAGGACTTCCACATGCACACTGTGGTACACATAGACACACAACGTAAAAATGTAAGGTTTTAAAAATACAGAAAGCTCCCTTAGCAAAACAAGGGATACTGTAGTAGATACAGTGAGTGGCACACGGCATCTGCATCTCCTGGTACCTCAGTCTTCAGACTTTCTTGATCCCAAGCCACAATTAAAAACTGTTATGGGGCCACAGGATGGCTCAGTGCATAAAGGCACTTGCAGTGCAAGCCTGGGGCCTTCCTTTGGCCCCCAAAATTCACATAAAAGTGGAAGGAAAGAACTGACTCCAAAAAGTTGTCTTCTGATTGCCACACATACAATGTGGTACACACACACACACATACACACACACACACCACATGCACAATTAAAAAAATACATATATGTTCGTGTGTGCAATGTGCACACATTTGTGTTTCTGTCTGTGGAGGAGACCAGAGGTTGATGTTGAGAATTGCCCTCTATCATTCTCCACATAACTCTTGGAGACAGAGTCACTGAATTTGGAGCTCACCATTCTGGTTAGACTGGCTGGCCGGTGAGGCTACGGGGTCCACTCCTGAGCACCACAGCTACAGATGAATGCGGCTGCACTCAGCTTTTACATGGATGCTTGGGATCCTAATTCAGGTCCTCATATTTGCATAACGGGCACTTTACACACTGAGCTATCTCCCCAGCCCAAGAGACGCTTTTATATATTCTCTCCTCTCTCCTTAAAGATCTACAAATGCATGTAAAATAGAAAATAAATGTGTGGATAGCTTTTATAAAAGATGATTCATTAACAGTTTTGTTTCATTTTTTGTCATTTGTGACACAAGTCAATTTCATGATCTATTAAGAAGTTATAACCCTGTTTGAAATCCACTCTTCTTGCACTGCAGAGGCATTAAGGCTAAAAATGTACACTGCCTGGACTCCCTTGCAGCTATGCTTCCCAGTGCAGTTTGTCTTCGGCCAATCAAACACAGAACTTAAAACATGGAAGTGAGGTCGAGATCTGCCTTTTATGTCTGGGCTTCATAGTGGTGGCACCATTTGATTTCTTTCAGACAGTGTTACCAGAGAGGTTGATAGTCAGAGGCTATGATAATTAAATTCATTTTTATGTAGACCTGAAATAATGTCAGAACTCACATGGGAAAGTAGAGATTAAAAAACAAAAATAAAGACAATCCTTAAAATAAACAAAAAAACAGTAAATAATCAGACTTCCCAGATATCAAATATGAGTGGTAATCTTGATCAAAAAAGAAAAAAGACAAGTCGCATAAAAAAAAATTCCAGAAAAATTAGCCAAATACTGAAATCAAAGAAAAAGGAATTTACTGACATCGTGAGAGAAGCATAAATTGTTCAACTGTATTTTTTAGCAAGTCAGCTTGAAAATGTGTTCTGTAATTATGGAACACTTTTTTTCCTTCAGCTTCTTAACATAACTCATTGTGAGAAACATAATTTTGCACAGTGACAAACAGCATGCTTGAACACACATGCAAGCATGATTTTATAAACATAACTACACTGTTCTGTACTTTCTGTTTCACCTTAGAGAGCAAAGGACACCGGTGACGATTCTGAGATGACTTACAACACATGAAGTCAGAGCACGCAGCTGGAGGAGGCAAGACCTGCTGTCTTACCTGCCTTGGTTCTTGCCTAGTGTACACATGTGCGAGGAGATGTGTGCAAAGAAGTCCCACTGTGCCATTACCAGTTGTTGTAAGCCAATGAATTTATATATTTATGTATATATGTCATAGACAGTTCGGAGAATGCATATACTCAAATTTATGCACATGATGGAATAATAATTGAAGTTTAAATACTGAGGTGGGAAGGTCTCAAGAGTGAGTGATGCTGGGGGAGTGGAGTCAGTTTCCTTTAAGGCTGTGGCTCCTGGTAGATCAACCATGTTCCAGTGTATGGATAGCACAAATTATAGTGGATGGGCTACTACATTTTTCAAATGGGGACACGATGTTGGGGGGATAGAGAGGATCTGGGAGGAGTGGGAAGTGGATATGATCAACACATTGTGTGAAATTCTCAAAGAATTATTTCTTTATAAAAGAACGAGTGACTGGAGTGCTTACTAAGTAAATAAATTCCTTTTTGTGCCATACTTTCCAATCAGGATGAATTACTACTATGTTACACAAATAGAGAAATCTTGTGCTTATTTCCACCAGATGAAGAGGTGTCCCTCTTTATAGAGAAGTCTGCCCATGTGGCCACATGATAGCATAAATTTCTCCGAAAAGGAGCCTCACATCTGTAGAAACATCTGGACAATTCTAGCACTTATAAAGCTTAGAAGAGCTTATGTATTAGAAATAGTAAGGGCAGATTTATTCAAAGGCCCTCAGTCTAGACTATGTAAAACAATTGGTTTTAGATAAAATTGGCTTTTCAGAATCTCTGCTTCAGAGCATCAGATGAAGAAATGGAATTAAATGGTTGTATATGATGTACAAACACACGCATATATGTTCAGCTTAAAGAAGAGTTTAATAAAAGAGTTTCCAATGAAAGGGCAGAGGAGTGGGCAGGGCAGTGAGGAGACACCCTGCAGGACCTGTGGGGTTCACCTCAGGGAGTAGCATCCAGACCGATGTGTGCAAAGATACCTCTCCAGACAGTCAGAAGTCGGCCAGTAGCTGTTCCCTTAGGAGAGGAGGGCTTCAGAATGGCTGAAACTGTGCTGTTCTTGGTGGTTATAGTCATACCAGATTCCCATGCTTCCTAGAGCATTTTAGCACACATGTGGAACTTGCATGCTTCCACTGTGTGACAGGCACCAGGCCTATGCACCTGAACCTAAAAGAAGAGGTGCTCAACACTGCCTATGTCTGGAGTGCCATTTGCCAGACAATCTCCCTACCCCTTCCACAAAATCCCGATGCCCTGAAGTTGTCATCAAGATCTCTGTTTCATCAACCTGAGGACACATCTGGAAGAAAATAATAATAATAATAATAAGATTAACCATGGTCAGCAAAAGCTTTAAACCTTCGCGTGCCACCCACACTTCCTTGAGAATGCAAAATAGTAGGAAAGTGACCCGAAATGGATTGGTATGTCTATAATATGCTTGTTCTGACGCAACAGTCAGAGCAGGAAATTTAATTCTGATGTTCCGAGGAAGGAATAGGGCAGAGCAGCAGCAGTCTGCCTTCAAATGGTGTCCTCAGTACTCGAGAATTCAGCACTGCCATCATAGTTTATAGTCAAGGAGGAGAGGAGGTGGCACAGGAGAGACCCAATGGTTAGGAAGTGCCCATCAAGCCAACTTCCCCATGAAGATGACTTCCAAGGGCCTTACTAGTCTTCAAGAATGATGTGGAGGAGTGTGTGTGCAGAGGTCAGGGAGGGGTGTCCCTTTCCCATTGCTACTGGAACTAATTACCGCACTCCCAAGTTTGGGCCTGATGGTTTTGGAGGTCAGAATACAAAATGAGTCTTAAAACTCCTTCAAAATGAAGGCGTCTGTCTATGGGACTGTTTTCCAGATTCTCCAGGGAAAAATCCCTTCCTTCCCTTTGCTCTGGCTGCTTCCCTAGGCGGCAGCATTCCTTGGCCTGATCACTCCGATTCAATAAAGTTCCCCTTTCTTCCTCTGACCTCCTGACTCCATCGAAGATGGGCTCCTGTGTATCATCAGCCCACCCAGAGAATTCAATCGAATCTGCCCATCTGAAGGTCTTAACCCTAATCACACCCCACAAGTATCTGTTGTAATAAAGGATAACATTCTGGAGATTGGAGTGTGAACGACTGAGGCATTCTTTCAGCCTATCACCTCTGGAAGTATGTGTCATTAAGACATCAAGCAGTTGGAATCTGTGGATCAACTATTATTGATCTCGTAGCTCAATATATTGTAAATTCAGTAGAATGATTAATTGGCCAGAGAATGCAGACACAGACCATGGGTGACAGCCCTAAGTCTGTGTATTGATCTTCTCTACCTATGTGGCTAAGCCAGCGTCCCCTCTGAAAACTACTGTGGCCGTTGTTTGCGAGAACAAGCTGAGTCACTTACAGAAACCTTGGTCGCTAACAAGTCTTGACTTCTGAGTTCCATTTGCTGTATTTTTTGTTGTGTCGGTGCCGAGACTTGAACCCAGTGCCTCTTGCATGCCAAACACACTCTACTACTGAACTAACCCCCACTTCAGCCCCCAGCTTCTCTGCTTGTCTCTTAATGCCCAGCAGTTGCCTTAGCCGGGTCAGTTCTGTTGTTCGCTGTGTTTTCTTAGGTGCTCTCAAAGCTGCATGTACCTTTTTCCCATGGTAATTTAATAAAGGATGGTGTCTTTATTACTAAGCCATAGGCTCTGTGGAGATGGAGTACATAGCTTCCTTTTTCCCACCATAGTCTAGTCCAGAGAACCCGATCCAGTGCTGGACAGATGTGCAAATACTTTTGAAAGAATGAGCCAGTCTCTCACCCCACTCTTTCCTAAAGCTCTGTTGTCACACTGAACTCAAAGGCAAGAATGCACTATTTTATTCACTTTAGTAACTCTGCAGGCATTTATTGATATTGGGGTGAATGGATATAGAGACATTAGCTGGTTAACTGGTTTGTCTAGTCAGTACTCAAGAGGGATACTCTTCACCCAAACCAGTTTTGAGAAAATGTCTGTGGATAGTTTGCCTCCGGAAATGCTACTCATAGGTAACTGCAAAGGTTCCCATTCGGCCTCCACCTTGCCACACAACCCTAGCATTTGTGCAAGGTAGTAGGACCTTGAAAACAAAAGTGAGTAAAAGATTAGTCACTCAATTATTTTGTCCAAGTAGTCTCAGACTGGTTACTAAGAAACCATGTAGCCTACTGAGTGTAGAATGAGTGAATTTGTGGTGGGTGGACAGGCTGTGCATATGTGTCTATATGTGATCTATGTGGTGTATGTGTGTCTTTGTGTGTGTGTGTGTGTGTGTGTGTGTGTGTGTGTGTGTGTGTGTGTGTGTGTTATATGTGTATATGTGGTCTGTGGTGTATGTGTGATATGGGGGGGTGGGAGTGTGGAATATGTGTAAGTATAGGAATATGGTATATATGATGTGTGTATGGGGATTTGTGTCATGTATGTGTTTGTCTACATGTGTCTGTGTATGTATGGTGTGGGGGGTTGCGTGGGAGTGTAGGATGTGTGTATGGTGTATGTGATATGTGTATGGGTGTGTGTAGTGGATATGTCTGTGTGTGTGTGTGGTGTGTGGGGGTTGTGATATGTGTGGTTGTGTATATGGTGTATGTGGTGTGTATGTGTTTAACTGATCATCTTATGTCCTCAGAGGCCATCACTGCACTGTGAAGGTGTTCTTTGGAGGAATTTTGGGTCTAATCATCAATGTTGAAATGTTCATGTCTCTTAAAGAGGAACAGCACATCGGAAGTTCAGGTATGCTGTCAGTTTGGTTACAGACATTTGAAGATCAATAGATTAAAAAAAAATCACTAGTGTTAAAAGAGTGTTTAGATTTCTTTGTTGGGTCTCAAATGCTTGTTTCCATAGGTTAACTTAATTATGGATAACCTTAGAGTAGTCAGAGGAATGAAGCCACATCTGAAAACAGCTGGAATTGAGGCCTAAGAGGACCACTGGCCTCTCCCTTGTATTTATTTCTTCATCTAGACACACCCCAGGAGAAAAAGGCATTTATTTCTTAGTAAACGGGCCCCCAAACATCTCTGAGACAAAAAAACTGTCTCCATGTTCCACTGTGCCACGGAATTCCGCACTGTTGACATGGCAAGCTCCGAGCAGAGACACAGCTGCTCAGACTCACTTTCACAGGGAAGGAATTTATGATCCCAGCCTTCCTACAGGGCAGGGAAGGGCTGGACCCAGAGTCAGCTGATTAGGAGATGGCAAGGTGGGGCCTGAGGCAGCAGCCACCCTAGGGCATGCTGGGGGCAAAACTAGAGTGGGGAAGGGGCAACGTCACTGTTTGGGTCACATGAAGTAAGTAGTTTAGGTTAGTCGGAGAAGGGACTGATTAGTTGGAGAAGGGACTGATTAGTAAGTGTAGCTGATAAAGGCCCCCTGGGATGCTCTCATGTGAGCAGTAAGGGGGCAGTCAGGGGTATATCTCATCTCCTTTCCAAACACTTCAGCCTGCCCCCATGGAGCTGGAAGCTTATTCCTGTATGGGTGTGTATAAATGATCAGAAGATCCAAGTTGCTTCTAGAACACAAGCACTTTCAGGAGGGATCACATTCACTCAGTGACTTAGCGAGCAGCAGCTGCATCCCAGGTCTCATTAGAACAGGTTGTGCTGGACTTGCCAGACAATAGCTACTTGTTTTCCCCTTGGACTTGTTTTTTTTCCTTGAACTTTGTTTAGTGAAGAGGCCTAGCAAACTGTCACTCCTGTTCAGAGGGCCCCAAGCTCCATGCCACCATGTCAAGAATACTCAGGGCTCTGCCATACTGTTCTCAGCCCTATCAAGGGGGTGAAAACAGGGAGACTGGGGACAGTGACCCACCCAGGGTCACAGCTGGGGGTGGCAGTGTGGAGTCTAGACCTGTTTGGGGGTTGACAAAGCTCACACACAGGCTTACTCCTCCTTCCTCCTGAGGAAGAGAGAGATTTCAAGAGGGAGCCGTGCGGTTTGAAAGACTCTTAGCGACATCTCCACCTTGTCCCTGGCTCCTGGAACAGGGGCAGCAGAGCCGACACATAGGATTCAGATTAGTCAAGGATTCCCGTGTTTGGGGGGAAGCATGGAGATTTTTTTCTCTCCAGTATTAAATCAGTGGAGGAAGACATTTGTCATTCAATGATCCGGGCTGTCAGGATCTGTACCTTGATGGCAGGTAAGACATTGTAATGATAATGGCAGACTTTCGGGGTGTCCTCTAGGGGTTGCTGCTTATTAATTGCTTTGGGGACACTTAACTTGTGTTGTATTTGAGTCCGTTGGAGAAATCTGAGGACTAGGCCATTGTAGTGGGGCTGGAGTCAAGATCAACGAGGCAGGTGTCTCGAGGTGTGAGTCTTCCCAGTCTTTGACCTGACTGGGATATGTGTGGTTAGGGAGTCGGGAAGACTACAGAAGGGATCTGCAGTGTTTTCAAGAGGGAAAGGCTCATGTGAAAATTCCAGGGAGACCTCAGATGTCTAAGTCTGAACAACGAACTAGAAACAACAAGATTGGCTTTCTAAGGAGAATGAGTATCTTGAGAAGTGAGCTCTTGGACATTTTGGCTAGAATTTTGAAGAAATCTGTAACTTCTAATCACCCCTCCCCCAGCACTTTAATCATAACTAAAACCCCCTGCTATGGTGAAGAACTGTGAGTAAAAGGGTAGGGACATTTCCTCTGAGTAATATCTTTCTTCTCCTCAGTACACTTAGTCACCCAGGGCAGACAACCAGGCCTGCCCAATGCCAACACATTTTCTTTCATATTCCCTAGGAAATCTGTTTATTTTGTGGGTCAGTATCTTTTAGCCTTGAAATAGTTCAAAATATTCTCTAAAGACACTTTTGTGCCTCGGGAAGTCTTTGTAACTGATCTGGTATAAACGATGGCCTTAGAATAGAAGTGGCACCCGAGTTTTCTTCACCTGCAACACGAAGTGTTAATAGCCTATGTTGTAAATCTGCTTTGATGATTACTAACTGTTTATAAAAAAAAAATCTCACATAGTAGGGCTCACAATAAGGTGTGTGTCAAAGAGCTTTTCAAAAGGGTTTGAACTGAGAGATTCCCCTGCCTCTGCCTCCCGAGTGCTGGGATTAAAGGTGTGTGCCACCACCACCCTGCCAAGACACACATTTTTTAAGGTGGTGATTTTTGACTACGTTTTTCATTTTGGCCAGCAGTTCATGCCTGCAGAGGCAGCTAATCGGGAAAGTTGAGACAGGATGGCCCGTCGAATCTAGCAGCTGCCAGCCCTTCTCAGTAAAACAAAATTGATAAAATAAAGGGCTTAAGGTGTGGCTAGGTGACAGATTCTGTGCTTAGCATGTGAGAGAGGTCCTGGGGTCAATCCCTAGCACTCCTGGAAGAAAGCTTTGGTGGTTTTTATAAAGATTTCTTCCTAAAGTGGTCTCTTCCTTTGTTTAGAGCTCCTCTGTGTGCCAACTAATAATGTAACTGAGAAAATGTGGCATTTATGAGGTCATTTCCCTTTTCTTTATGGTCCTAGAAGACCTGTCATTTTAGGGGAAGGAATGTCTATAAAAACTAACCTTGCCCCTGGGGCAAGCTGACTTCTCCTCCCACTTTTCTGAGGAATCCTGGGCCTGGGGGCGGAGGCTGCAGCCTCCCGGTGGAGGAGGGGGGATGTTACACAAAAACCACAGTCTCAGGTAAAGGACAGCAGACCTCTCTGTCTGTGGAAGCGGGTTCAAGGGGTAAGTGTGGATGGAAGAGAATTGAGGGTTCGTGTGTGTGTGTGTGTGTGTGTGTGTGTGTGTGTGTGTGTGTGTGTGTGGTGTGTTCGTGCACCCTTTCATCTGTGCATCCATGCATGTGAGCACGTGTTCCATGGAGGAGGAGACTGGGCACACTGGCTGAGGTCTGCTCTACAGAGGGAAAGGCGGGGGGGGGGGGGGGGGGGGGGGGGGGGGGGGGGGGGGGGGGGGGGGGGGGGCAAAGGTTCTTTCTGCCTACATGTGGCCTCGGAAGAGAGTGTCGTCCTTGTTCAAATTACGGGGAGCCCAAGGGAGCTGTAGGCGATGAGCCGGAGACGAGTGCCCTTGCATGCTATGTATATCATTTTAGGGTGGATGGGCAGACCACATCAGAGTTTATTGCTGCTGCCACAGCTGGTCCACACATGCTGTCTCTCCTTGTATCTCTCCTGTATGCTCTTTTCTTTCTACTTTGCATACGCTCTCTGAGCAAGCTCGACACCACCATCTTGGAATATTGAGTTCTGTGATTTGTAATATTCTTTTGTTTCTTAAAATGATTCGTTATTGGTTATAAAAAACTATCTTGGGCAATACAAGAAAATCTAACATTGAAAACCCTAGCAAGGCATGGAGGTATAAACCACTAATCCTACCTCTGGAGAGACTGAGGCAGGCAGGTGGCAAGTTCAAGCCAGCCTCGGACATTTAAAGAGTTTAAGGCAGTGGTTCACTGAACTCGATGTTGTATTTACATACCTATATCTGTGTAAAATAATGATTATGAATGTTTATTTTTAAAAAAATCTTAAATCCAAAGGCTTTTGGTGACTTCTGCCAAAGAGATTTGTAGACAACAAATAGATTTTAAAACATTAAAAAAAAAAAAAAAAAGGCAGTGGTTCTCAACCTTCCTAATGCTGTGACCCTTTAATCCAGTTGCTCATGCTGTGGTGAAACCCCCCCATCATAAAATCATTTCATTGCTACTTCATAACTGTAATTTTGCTACTGTTATGAATTGTAATAAAAACATCTGATATGCAAGATTATCTGATATGCGACCCCCATCCCAACATGAAGTACAACCTTACCAGCAAGAGATAGCCACTCCTAAACTTTTTGTGCGTGTGGTGGGTAATGTCTGGGATGTTTCTCACGAACATTTTCTGGTATTAAGTCTCTTTTTCTAAACTACGTTTTAAAGACAACAGAGTCTCCTGTCTACCTTTCCTTCATGTAAATGGGGCATAGAGAGCATCCCTCCTGTTTTTCCTTCTGATAACGCATTGGGTCAAAGGGCACAATTTTAAAAGTTTTAATGAAAACATTCATGTAAGATTATACTTCTATGTGTGATATATGAAGGCTAAATTTTCACAAGCTCTTCAACCCTGGGACCTTTTCCAAATCTTTGTCAGATTATCAGCTGTGGTGGGCGTGTCTGTTGGAGTGGACAAGGGGCTGTCTGATTGTTAGGGCTTACTTAATGCATTGTCGGTGGCTAGAGGACGTGGCGCTTTCTATGTTTATTAAGCATTTCTATTTCTTCCTTTGAGGGACTGCTTCTTCAAATTTATGGTTTCTAATTTTGAAGTTTTTAACAAGTTTCCAGTACCTTCCACAATAGTTCCTCGTGCATGTGAGTTCAGCTTTTTCTCCTAGTTCTATTTCTATATTTAACCTCTTAGTTTATTGGAATTCATTTTTAAATGTGGAGCAGGGTGATATGGTGGTCTGGCATTACATTTTTCTGAATGTGTTGAGCATTTTTCTTTCCCCTAGTTGCTCGTTATTCATTTTGTCTCCACCAATGAAATAAGCCATCAGGGCTGGGGCTTAGAGTTCAGTAAGACAGAGTTCACCTCAAGGTCCAGGTCCTGTGTTTGATCACAAAAGAGAAGGAGCATCCCCAGACTCGGGCCCTAGGGATCGAGAACTCTTGGATGCTTGTAGCAGCTTGGGGCAGAAGGGTAGGGGTGAAAGGAAATGGAGACTCCAGCCCTATGAGGAGCGTTTTGTCTGTCATACTTT